AAGCAGCAGTCTCTTCTGTCTCATCTTGGAAGGCACACATCAAATTCTATTCTCTTGGTCACACAAACCAACCCTGGAGGTTACACAAGGGCAGGGTTGTGGGGAGCCATCTTGAGGTCTGGCTGTCACTGTAGGGCAAGTGACAGTGGACACTGAATGAATTTGTTATTTTTACCTCTACAAAGCTAAGTCAAGTCTTCTACTTTTATTTTTAATAGACTTTAAAATTTTTTTTATTTTTAAATTTTTATTTTTTCTGATTAGTTATGCATGACAGTAGAATGCATTTTGACACATCATATATAAATGGAGTATAACTTCTCATTCAACTGGTTGTACATGATGTGGAGTTACAGGTCATATAATCATATATGCACATAGGGTAATAATGTCTGATTTATTCTACTATCATTCCTACCCCCATGGCCCCTCCCCTCCCTTCACACCCCTCTGTCTAGTCCAAAGTACCTCTATTCTTCCCCTGCCCCTTATTGTAAATTAGTATCTGCATATCCAAGAAAACAGTCCGCCTTCGGTTCTTTGAGATTGGTTTATTTCGCTTAGAACAATATTCTCCAGTTCCACCCATTTACCTGCAAACGCCATAATTTTGTTCTTCTTTTATTGAGTATTATATACCACAATTTTTTTTTTATCCATTCATCTGTTGAAGGGCACCTAGGTCGGTTTCATAGTTTAGCAATTGTGGAATAAACCTTATTTATTTATTTTTTTAGCAAACTGTATTTTATTTTAGGTTTACAGTAAAAATAAATGAAAAGTGCAGAGAGTTCCCATACACCCGCTACCCGTTCCTCATGCACAGTCTCCCTCAGTGCCAATTTCCCCACCAGAGTGGTACATTTGTTATGATTGAAAAACCTCCACCGACATATTATCACCCAATGTTCCTAGTTCACATTAGGGTTCACTGTTGGTGGTGGACATTCTGTGAGTTTCAACAGACGTATAATAACATATTTTAAAATTGTACACAGATGCAATTTATATGTCAATATGGAAAGGCTGATGCCATTGAATGAAGAGTCTACTCCTCAGATTTCTTGAGAGAGAAGTACACACACTGTGCATCATGTGTGGGCACAGAGGAAAAGCCAGGTTTGGGCAGGGGGAGGCGTAAGGTGAAGGCCAGAGTCTGTGTTGGGGTGTCCTAGAATGTTAGCAGGGCTCAGCCAATACGTCAGGGTGGGCTAGTGTGAATGGTGCAGGCCAGCTTTGGGCTATCGTGCTATTCTGGGCTGGCTTGACCCTGAACCCGGCTGAGCCTGGGTGATTTAGGGTAGGAAAATATGTGCATGGTGCCTCAGAGTCAGACATGCAGGTGAATGGGGATGTGGCCTTGGACCAGCTCTTCAAGCTAGTAGTTTGGCCCTGTGATTCCTGAATGCTAAATAGACACATGGAATCTAGGAAAACATACTGAGAGCATGTGCACCCACTGTGACAGTATCACACAGAGCAGGTCCACTGCCCTGCAGATTCCCATGCTCTGTCTCCTCACCCCTCCCCCAGCCCCTGCACCTGCCAATCTTCCATCACCTCCACATGAAAGCTGTGTGGTTGGAATTACAGGGTGCACAGCTTTTTCAGATTAACTTCTTTTACTTAATAATATGAATTTAAGGTCCCCCCCCCCAGGTCTTCTCATGACTTATAGCTCATTCATTTCACTTTTTTAAAAACCAAAAAGTAAGCATGATTTTTGCCCTGGCTTTGCTAATGGTATCAGTTTTGTGTTTTTAATCCTCCACTAAGCTTAAATAATCTGAATGGTTTACCCAGCTAACATTTTGCTGAAGAAAAAAAAAAAAAATACAACTCCATAGTGTTTGGGGAAGCATAGGACTCATCTTGCTCTTAATTTCTGTCTTTTTCCCCTTCAATCATATTCTCTAAGCATCTTGCAGAACATGCTTGTTCAGCTTATCTGTTTGTGGAAAATCACTCTCCGAAAGCCTTATTATATTCTACTTAAAATAGACTTTGTTTAATATACAAAATAATCAAGTCTTACTGAAAGGACTAAGTCTTCTCCGAGGAAGGTCTGTGTTCTCTGCGTTGGTTGATGAAGGGACCTGTCCCAAGAGGCTACTCACTATTAGAGATCACAGGTAGAGAGCAAGAGCACTATTCTCTTTTCACGGGGAAATAAATAGAGCAAGATCATTGCATCGTGACCCATTCCTTCAGTGAGCTAGCAACACACATGCAAATGACAAAGTTAACAGTATCGATGGCTGTGTGGCTTTCTTCCCCTCATTCCACAGTGAGGCTCAGTCACGGGAGTGTCCCAAGCAGGAGAGCTGAACTACCATCGGGATAACAAGAGCCAATATTCATGTAACACTGTACAACTCTGTGCCACCATTCTGGCTCTTGAGGGAGAAAGACTTTTCTCTGAGAAGGTGGGTAGCGGCTTTCACCCAAAACAAAACACACAAGCAAAAACCTGGAAATGCTATCAGATGCCTATGTACTTAGGAGAAAACCAGCCACGGGCCCCAATGAATGGAGAGGGATAGAAAGCCCTAGGAAAGGAGATGTGGAATGAGTTAGAATGTTAGCTTTGTTCAAGTCTTAGTGGACAATCAAGGGGACTCTTTAAAATCTGTCAGCATTTAAGGATGATGAAAATGCTATTTGAATTTGTATCTATTGACTGCTTGCTCCGTGCTGCACCCAGTGCTCTGTGGATGTGTGATGTATTTGTTGCGCTCAGTGGTTTTAACAGAAATATTTGTAACAAAATGTAGTAAACAAGTGAAAATGTTCCTCGGGCCACAGCACCTTTGGAGGTCCAGGGCTGTTTGGATCCTGAAGGCATTGTGTTAGCCGGTTTTCCATCACTATGACGAATACCTAAGATAATCTACTCAAAAAGAGAAAAGGTTTATTTTGGCTCACAATTTTGAAAGTTCCATCCCAATCAATGGACCCCGTTGGTTTTGGGCCTGTGGCGAGGCAGCACATTATGGCAGAAAGCAGGAGGCAGAGCAAAACAACTCACCTCACCACCAGGGAGCAAAAGGTGGTGAGGAGGCTGCAGAGGGGGTCCCCCATCTCCTCCAAGGCTTTCACCTAAAGACCTCTCAGTAGGGCCACCTCTTAGAGGACCCACCTCTTCCTAATAGCACTACCTTGGGGACCAAGCCTTAAGTGCATGGGCCTCTGGGGACATTTAAGATCCCTATGACAGCAGCCATCAATAGTCACCACCCTCTCCCTCATGGTAACAAAACCTCCTGAGGCCAAAGGATACCTGAGAGGTAAAACAGTCCTTGAAGTACCTCCTTAAAAATAGAACCCCACCAAGGGATTGCAAACGCCACACCATCTTTCAAGACTCTTCTCTTGTCTCCCTTCCTTCTTTTCTTTTCTCTTTCCTTTCTTCCCTCCAAATGGGGTCTTGATACGTTGCCCACACTGGCCTTGAACTCGAGATCCTCCTGCCTTAGCCTCCTGAGAAGATGGGCCAAGGGCATGTGCTGCTATGCCTTGCTAAAGATGCTATCTCCTAATCTGATGCTGGGATCAAACTTTATTTTTTCAGAGATGAGGTCTTGCTATGTTGCCAGCCCAGCCCTGATGTCTCCTGCTTCAGTCTCCCAATTAGCTGGGGTTCCAGGCATAGCCACCTGGCTTAAGACATATTCTAACTATCAATGATCTGTCAACACACGTCCGTTTCCACACCTTCCTCACATGCAATGCGCTTTGGTTAGCAGCACTCCCAGCGTAGGGACAGTCCCTCCACAGGGGCCGGTGGGAATAGGTAGTAGGGGGCATGTGTGCATTGAAAAACGTCCTGCAGTGATTCTCCCGAGCACGGCGGGACTCAGGATGGGACAGCATCCCTTCCCTTCCAGTTTCAGTTGACATAGCAGGTAGAGGTGAGTCAGTTTCCTGGCCTCTGCATGGGCCATCTGAGAAGCTCACCTCAAGGGACAAATTCAACTCAAAGATCTCCTGGATCCTGAAGTGGGGTTGCCAATAATTAACAGTTGACATTTTGCGGGGCTGGAGGCACTGAGGATTGAACTCAGGGGTCCTTTACCCCTGAGCCTCATTCCCAGCCCTTTTTTATATTTTATCTAGAGACAGGGTCTCACTAAGTTGCTCAGGGCCTCACTAAGTTGCTGAGGCTGGCTTTGAACTTGTGATCCTCCTGTCTCAGCCTCCCTTATCTACAGTTGACATTCTTCATCTGTAAGTCAAAGATCAGGGTTGGACACATGGTCTATAAGGTCTACTACAGCAACGATATTTCACTGTTCCATTTGGGGAACAGGGTGAGGTTCCTAAGCTTTCCATCCAGTAAATCAAATCCAGTTGGTGGTGGTCAGGTCTGGCTTGCCAATGTGTTTATTTAACTTCCCAGTGTTATTGGCTTTTAATTAGTTGCCAATATTTTAAAAATATGGGGATGTCTCCTATTTGTTTCTAGCTCATCTTGGAAATTCTGGATCTGGCAACATGTAAGCCCTCAGTCCTGGGCGACAACCTTTTACAGAGCAGGGCATGCTTGTTCACAACCCCACTGGCCCATTTTCCTCATTCCCATCCCTTCCTGGTCACTATGGAGTTGAGTTTGCGAGTCCTGTTTTTAATTCTCTCCGTATTCCCTGGACCACAAGAGACAGTGACGCTTGATAGAGGGTCCATATCCAAACCTCTTTCCATGTTTTTCTGCTGCTTACAATGACTCAAGGGAGGTATATTCTGTGAGCACATGGGCTGTGGCCATGCCTGCCTGTTTGTTCATGACCACAGAGGGTAGGAGGAGAGCTAGAAGCTGAACGTCTTGTGATGGTTCCAGAAAGCTCCCCACTGATGACTGCGTGACAGATGGGCAGAAAGAGCAGAAGGGATGCTACGTAAACATCTGTGTGCATGGGTGAGAAATTAGATCCACAGAGAAAAAAACATATGGGGTTTTTCACGTGTCTTTTCCCCTTCCTCCTCTTTTCCTTATTGTCCAGGTCCATGCCACAAACGGCGGGCAGGAGGCTGTTGTACCCAGCTGGGCTCTCTGTCAGCCCTGAAGCATGCTGTCCTGGGGCTGTACCTGCTGGTCTTCCTGATTCTCGTGGGCATCTTCATCTTAGCAGGTAAGAGCAGCTCTTTTCAATTCTGGACTTTAGGATGAGAAAGGGAGACGTGGAGCCTCCGTCCCTCATTCCTACTGTCATGAGCCCAAACGCTGTCCGTGTCACCCTGGAAACCACAGAGGGAGAAGCCAGCTGGTCTCTCCACCCAGGCAGAATCCTTCCATAACTTTGCTTGCTTCATGTGAGAGCAACTGGCGGGTGTCACATGAGCTTGTGGAATCTCTGCGTCTAGCAGGGGAGGTCTGGTGGCTCAGTGTGGCTTCTGACACTTGCTGCACTGTCATGAGACCTTACTTTACACTGGGTCTCCTAGACCTCTGGAGTGTGGTCTGCACTGAGCAGGCTGAGCATCTTCTTAGCTCCTCGTCCTGGAGTGTCGTGGAAATAGTCACAAGCCCCTTGGGTGTTGAGGCTAATTGAGATCATGGTCAACCCACTGTTCTTTGCAGCTCCTGGGGGTGAGATGAGTTTGTCCCAATGCAGCCAGGCTCTCCTCCTCAATATCTATGCAGGATGGGCAGCTGATGGGCTGGGGTTTGGAGCCATTCTCTAGCCAGGGTGAAGTAGAGCTCATAGACTTAGGAAGGGTCCACATGGTGGTGGTGGTGGCACCGAGGGGGGGTCTGTTGATCTTGTGCTTTGAGCAGCCAGGTTCATCACCTACAGGATGTCCCACCATGATGGAGACAGGAAAGCAGTAAAGCTGTGGTGGTCTCCTCTGGTTTCCTTCCAGAGAAGGGCTACTGAGTTCCCATCTTTCTCATTGGAGAAGCTTGATGAAGTAGAGACACAGAGCCACTTTATTTCAATCCAACATGTCTCTCATGGCAGTGCTAGGCTCTGTGCTAGGATTGGGGACACAGCTAAATAAGACCCAGAGGTTTCTCTCAAGGAGTTTCAAGTCTGGAGGCTGAGGCAGGGCAGATAGAGTCCCCTCTCAAGGTGGAACACAACAGACCCTCTGATGGGGCACAAGTAGCACCGTGGTGAAGCCGGGAGGCATGCACTCTGGGAAGGAGGCTATTGCGTGGAGGAGGGTGGGGTTGGTCCCAGTGAGGCTCCTGGCCAGGAAGAGCTGACTTGCAGGGTGGGGTCCTTGAGTTAACTCCAGGGCAGGAGTCTGGAGGTCCAGCCCTTATAGGTCACCCTTTGTTGGAGAACTGAGGTAGATGCCCAGGATCTCTCTGGTCCCAGCAAGTGGGACTACTCACTTGGGCTTGGTAACGGGATGCCCAGTGCTACCTGTGCCTTCAGACCTCCATGCTCAGGGCATCAGGGGTGATGTCTGTCCCACCAGCCAGTGACCTGGGGGGCAGCCAACAGCAACAACAAGAGAAACTCATGATTCATCCCAGGGACCAAAGGATGGTGTCCAGCAAGATCTCTCATAGGCCAAGCCAGGCAGAGGATGATTTGGACATGTTCTTGGGCTGCTCAGTGAGAGCTTGGGATCTGGGTTTTGTGGGTTTGGCTGCCAGGACCATAACAAATTTCTGGAACGTTTGGAGAGTGTTTCAACCCAGCAGGAAAGCCAGACTGTGGTGTTAGAACTGCCCTGCAGAACAGGAACTTTCAGGTGACAGAAGGGAGTACAGAGGACAGGCACAATGATGGTGGGGCCAGGGCTGGGTCTTGGACGCCTGGAGGGCCCATAGGGAATCATCTCCTGGGGAAAAAAAAAAAGACGTGCAGGAGAGGAACGTTCCCTTCTGTTGCCTGAAGGGCTGCCATGTGGAAAAGGGTGGACACTGTTCTGTATGACCCAAGGGTAGAACCAGGACCAACGGGTGGTCATGGTGAGCAGGCAGATTTCCATTCACAACAGAGGAACTTTGCTAAGCAGTTGTTCTGTCCAGCTTGACGCAGAAAGGCTTTCCCCTGGCTTGGAAGTCGAATGGGATTTATGATGACATCTTGGAATCTTCAGAAAGGAGGGTGGAACAGGACTTCCTAGTCCCACGAAAATGTTGCCACGCTTCCTTAGTTGTTCCAGGTGGAAACCTGGGAGGATTTTCTGATCATCATGGTCACCTTTAAACCTAAAGCTCTAGGGCTCCATGTGGCCCGTGTGGAATGAATGTTGAGGGGGTTGGACTGAAGAAGCAGAGTGTCATGCTTCATCTCTTGGCTCTGGGTGTGGGCCACTGTCACCTCCCCAGGTTTCTGTCTGAAAAATCCTCTGGGAGAGGCCTGGGGAAGGTGCCAATGAAGAGTACGATCCATGGCTCCCTCTGTCATAGGGAGGGGGACGCGGTGGGCAAGTCTGTGTTCCTTCAGGAGGCTCTGCCTGATCTAGGGGGGCTTCTTCAGATGACCCGACTGAAGGCCTTCAGTGATACTCCCTTTTCAGCAAATGCTAATATGGCGGAGAGGGTCACATGGGTCAGTGTGAATCAGAGCTTGCTTGGTCTTCTGTTGGGGTCTTGCTATGGGACTTCTGCTTCTTGGATAAATTGTTGCCCAGGACGTCTGTTTGAACCATCTTAATCTTCAAAACCTCCTTGTCGACACAAATCTCATACACCCTCCAACCGGATGAAAGAATTATCCCCTGTAACAAGTGCCATGTTGGAATACCTGGCTGGCCGTATCTCACTGGAGTGCCAATACTTGTATTCAATATTACAAAACCATAATCTCATTATGCCAAAATATTACTTTTATAAACTCCCCATAGACTTCTCACAAGTCATACCCTTGCTCAAATATTCAAAATAAAAGGCAAATACTATACCTTGTGTTTATGCAACAGTCAGAGATTAATCCAGCCATCACCCAGGTACGCTCCCAGTTGAACCTTCTGCTTTCTATCCAACCACCCATTCCTGACCAGCATCTTTCCAGGAACTACCCTCTGATATTCCCAAATACTGGGTGCCATTGCCTCAATTCACAGCCTTCCAGAATCTCTGAGGACACTACTGTGGTTGATTCTTCTACTTCCAAATTCCTTTTTTAAAGAAATCTCTGCAATGCATTTTGTCAAACATCTGGCTGCTAGTCCCCTACTGGGTTATTGTTCTGTTCCAGATTCACTGTAGACAATGTAGACAACGGGGTTCAAGTTTCTGAAGGAGAGAATCGAGACTGGCGGGTCACGTGGTCAGGAGGTTCCCAATGAGCACTTCAGGCAAGATAGTCTCAGTGAGAGAGTAAAGGGAGGGAAGACTCCGTCTCACCCACAACCATTCTGGGACAACACTATGGTGACTAACTGTGGTCATCTGGAAACACCTCTTCCTCCTCTTCCCAGTGGCAACTCCATTGACAGATTTGGAGGCAGAAAGGGAAGGTGCTAACACCTGGGGAGCTGATTTGGGGGATGTTATAGAATCATAGCAACAAAGAGGACCTGAGCCAGGGAGAGCTCCTGCTGAGACAGGGGTCCTCTCACACCTGAGGCCAACCTTCTGAACAGCAAGCACCCACCATTGCCATCTTTTTTTTTTTTTTTTTGTCATTGCTTTCTTCCTGTGCACTTGGTGGGTAAAGGGCGAGGGAAAACCCTGGGAATAAAAAGTCATGAGATACGATAGATGTACTGGGTGGGTTAAAATGATAAACACACACACACACACACACACACACACACACACACGGGTAATGTGATGTCACTTGTGCTATGTGCTAAATTATGCCAAGGAGAGCCTGATTCCTGAGGTTGGCAGGTTGGGGAAGGCCTCAGCCTGGGGGAGACTTGTCCAGATATTTGAATTAAGTGACCCTTTGTTTTTTGGATCACCTTGTTTCAAGTAGATGAGTCCCTGGACTCCACAGAGCGCTCTGAGCCCACTTTATTTATATGGTAGATCTGACTCCATCATGCTTCTTAGGAATAAGAGCATGGTGCCCCCAGCCTATCGGGACACTCCGATCAGAAACAACCCCCTGAGGGTTCGTCCTTGCTCATCCTCAGGATGCTGCTGGGGATGTTGTTCATGACATCCCAGAATGTTGACTTCAGAGGACCCAGGAGGAATTATTTTCTGTCTCAGTTGCAGAAGGAGGAATGCTTTCTTTAAGCAATTAGTTTGTTTTCACTTTGAGGAGGCTGTGACTCTGAAGTCATTAAAATTACTTCCAAGGGGGCAATTAACACAGACGGAGGCAGCTGCCATCCCATCCTAACATTCAAAGATAATTAAAATGAGAAGCAGGAGATGGATGGGTGGTCCACCTGTAGCCAGCACACGGACTGTAGGGAAAACATTTCTGCGAGAGGCTCATTGCTGGTGCCAGCAGTGTTTCCCTACTCGTCCCCCCTTGTCCCCCTCTGCTTCTACCTTGGTGTATGTGACATATCCTTATGAACCGCCTTGATCCCTTTTGGAACAAGGAAGGATGTTGTGAGGTTTTGTCTTAAAAAAAAAGCAAACCTCCCTGTTCTGTTTGATTCTTCAAGTTCATAGTGTCTTTAAATACGTGAATGGATGAATAAATGAGTGTTGGAGATAAGGAAGCTTGGAAAAGTACCTGGGATTATTTCAATTTAACCAGGCAACTCGAGGACATGAACAGTGAATCACCATGCTAGGACTTAAGTAGGCGTGCAATTAATTAAGTAAACACACTTACCATAGTGTGTGCCAGGCTGGCCCCCAAACCCGGATGGGTCCCAGTGGAAAGTACTACCTGATCCTCCCTGTCTCCATGTTCTGAGTTTGTGGTGGCATTAAACCCTGGCTTCTCCGTTACCAGCTAGGTGACGTTGGCCAGGTTACCTGACCTTTCTGGACCTGAGTCCCCCCATCTGAAAATGGAAGGAACTGGTGCTCCTACCGGCCTCACTGGGTTGCTCTGAGGGTTAAAGGAGTTGGTATGTCTAAACAACCAGAGCAGAGGCTGCCCACAGTAGCCTGGAAGAAGCAGGAGCCTGTGAGTGCTGTCATTACCCCAGTCGTGCCTATTATTGGTATCCATGCTCCTTCCTTTTCTTGGTTTCCTCTGCGGCCAGTTAAGCCTGATAACGTAAACTGAAATTCAATCCCGGCTCATCTGCT